AAGAGTGCTTTGTACACCGAACAACACCCTCCCCCACAACCTCCACCACCTCTCCAAACTTCAGTGTAAAGAAACTTTGCACCTAATTCACCATGAGTTCAATTCTGCAGGGTGCTCTGTGCTACTAAAAGACATGCAGAGATCCGGAGGGAGGGGGTTGTTCATCACCAGAACACAGAAGCTTCCACATGGGGGGACTGATTCTGTGAGATGCAGAATGTGACCCAGGACTGTGGATACATATAGGTCTCAGCAAATCTCAACATCTGCACTGAAATGCACCCTGGTGACTTGAGGAGAGGAGTGGAGGCAGGATGTGGGAGGGGCAGAGATGCTTAAACTAAGGTTACCATATTTCTAGTTTAAAAAAAGAGGATACCTGGTGGGAGGGGTAATATGATTGTGAGGGCCAGTGATATGCCCATGCCCTGGCCCTGCTCCTCATCCCCAAACCACAGCCCCCTAGCCCCGCTGCTGTCTCTCACTCCCAACCCACAATACCCCACCCCCCAGACCATGTTGGTGCCCCTTACTCCCAACCTTCAGCCTGCCCCCACCTCTGCTGATGCCCTTCCGGTCACTCCTGACCCACATCCCCTTTCTCCTCCCCTCCCGCCGCCAGCCCTTCCGGTGCCCCTCACTCCTGACTCGACCCCTGAAGGACCCCCTAGCCCTTCCCCTGCTGGGGCTTGTAAGCAGACACACATGATGCCCCTCCCCTGCTCCCTCCAGCCCCAAGCAGCTTCTTGCTGGGGCAAGCCAGAAAGTACAAGGAAAGCAGAGGCAAAGCAAAATCCCAGACATTTGCTGATATTTTAAAAAAACACCTGGACAGAGATGGAAGGACCCAAAAAGAAGACATGTCTGGGAAAACCCAGATGTATGGTAACCCTACTTAAATACAGAAGGGTGAATATTCAGTATGGTGCAAATCCCAGGCAAGTAAGCACAACCTAGGTTCTGAGTTGTGTGCTGCTCTGCTCACTGGGGAGTGACAGGAGTCTACCCCCCACCCAGGCTACTATGGGGCCACCACAGCTTTGACAGATCCAAGGACCCCTGCTCCCTCAGAGGAGACCAATCTAATGGGGCACCAAAAGTAAGTCCAGGAAGTAGCAGATCCTTTCGCGCACCTGCTCCTTGCACATTGTGAAAAGAAGGTCCAATGTGGAAATAAGTTTCTTCTGCCTCAGTATTGCTGCTGTGGGATCATCTTGGGATGACAGAGGAGGACAGGATGTGTCCCTCTCTATTCTGTTGTTATTTTTGGATCCTCGGTTTCTCCTTCAGACATCATGAGGATCAGCCAGCCACTGATAAACAGCCCCTACTCCTAAATTCTCAAGCAAACAGAACATTTTCTTACAGCCTAAAGTTGTACATTGGGCACAGCGCCTTGCCAGCTCTCTGGCCAGAAACCTCTGGTCCCCTCAGCTTGCTTTACCTGATTAGATCATCATTAACAAAAGTGCTAGGCACAGCCATCTCATTGATGTTTTGGTGCTGCTCTCACTGTTTTATATAAATAACCTGCTCTCTATACAATCTTGCTTATGGGTATGAAGTCCATCTGATTTTTACTTGCATGGATTCCTATAGGTATGTGAATAATGGGAAAATAAAATACATTACCATGTTCTGAATCATTCCTGCCCACCCTACCCACTACCTCCCATTAAAATTATTTCAAAAGTAGCTTCAGTTTTAAAGCCTGACTTGAGCAACTTTGGGTCTGAGCATTTACAGCTTGTCTTGCTCCTGGGTTAAATTTTCACAGGCACAAAAGGAAGCTAGGAGTTTAACTTCCATTGAGATGGGCACTTTACTTCCTTTTGTGTCTTAGAAACTCTTTTCCTCTTTAAGTTGATTTTGTTGGTGAGTCAACATTTCTGAAAACTGGACCCTGCTTGTTAAGCACCCCAAAACAGCAGATACTTTTGTAAATGTCATTGTCAGTCTGGTGCAGCTGGGAATCCTGTGTATGGAAAAGGCTCTTATGGGAAAACTGAAAGAAATACTGACAAGAGATTCACTCTGGGACCTGCCCAACTTGCCTAATGGATGTGATGTTCTTTCTCTGCAGAAAATCCTTTGATGCATTAAAAGCTTGGTGACAATGCCTGTAGACTGTATTAACAAAACTTTCTGCAAAGATTCAAGAAGTTAAGAAAAAAAAAACCTTTGTCCCCTGAAATTGATATATCTATACTTGAAAACAAACAACCCAATAAAAAGGCCTATTGTAATCTGGAAGCAAAATCCTTTTGAAGAGATAAAAACAAAAGCTTTCTTAATGGTTTAGGTTTTTTGCCTCTCAGAAAGAAGAGACTTATCTGCCTCCACAGTAGGCACAATCTCCTTCCATCTCCCATCTTGGTAGAAGAACTATAGAGCTGGAATTTAACACTGGCATCCAAGGGCTTTTAGTCTGTCACTCCTACCCTATGTTGAAACTGCTCCAACCAAGTTTCTAAGTGGCACTTATATTGCCATGTGAAAAGTATATACAAGTCATGGTTACTCAAGTAAGAGATCTGTTTGTTTAGGTACATTAAAACAAATTTCAGCATATCAAGCACTTGTCTCACTGTTAAAAGGTGGGAGTAAAAGAAATGGTACACCTTTGACTGAAACCTGATTTTATCATGTTGCTAAAGATTCTTTTACTCTTTTCTCTTTTTTTTGACTTGGACAACAAAGACTCTTTAAAAGATGCTATTTTCCAGTTAAATAAAATGTACTTTCTTAAGATGAGACTACAATAAATGTTAGGGACGTCAAATGCATCATGATTAAGGTGTCTAGAAAGATTTATACAAAATGCATCTTCTGCCAGTTCCCAAATTGGGACGGAACAGGACTCTACAGTCCAGGGCTCTAGGGTACATGGAAGATTAAACCAAGAAAAAATATAAATTACCTTGAGGAATTACAGGGGATAAAATAGTGTTCACAAAAAATATTGTTATGTTTATTTTATAACAGTTCTTATCAAATCAATTTAATTTAAAGCCTATTTGCAGTACTTTTAAATGCAGATAAGTCATTGGCAACTTCTGAAAATGTGTGTCAGTAAATCATGCTTAACTGCATATGAATTGAATAAGATAGCTTTTTCATACTATAGCTAAATGAGCCAGCTTGTTCATTATGTTTTATTATGAATTATAGTTGTGATAATGCTTACAGTTATTACTGAATCCACGTGTAATTAACAAATTCTTCAAATAATCTAACAGTTCACTTCTATTCTACTTCTTCTAATTTCTATAATGAGTTAATTAGTTTAGTTATCTCTTCCAAGGTCTTGCTTCTCTGTAAGTTGTATGCTCTCTTTCTTTTAAACATAAGACCAAAAAAGCTACATTCAAAAACGTATTTTTGCAAGAAATTAGTATTAACACCCACAGACATACACACTCTATAGGACTGGTCCTAACTATAATAATGTATTATCCCATCAATGTATATTTCTAACTCAGTTAATTCAAATGTAATGAAGCGTCAGTTATTGACACACATTTTAAAACTCTTATCACATTCTTCTACACATTCAAGTGGAAAAGAGCTCTGCAAAGTCTTCTCATTAGACCATCAAAAAAAACTTCTGATTTCATACCCCAACTTTGATCTGTTTTTTCTCAGCCTGTGGTGGCAGAAACTTTACAATAAACATATTCTTAGTCACAAGTGAAATAAAAAGCAAAAGTTCAAGTAAAAAATCTATTTCCTTCAGTGTTACTGTATATTTGTCAGTGTGACATAGCACATTTGAAACCTATAATCATAAAACAAAAATTTACAGCCAGGGTTTAGGGTCTACATCTGTTTCTCTGGTTTCTGTACTGCAATTACCCACTGGACAATTCCAAAAGAAATGTCATGAATCATGTTCTGTGCATGTTTGTGCGGTCACTTCTGGTAAAGGAAAAGAGTCCAATGCTACCTTATGCACTATTCAGATAAAGTGCTCCAAAAGTAAGTTGAATGCACTGCAAGCTATTATTTTACTAGGATCAACAGGCACATCTATAGCATGGAAATGAAGAATGCACTCAAAACATCTTTAAAAGAAAATAAGTTGGTGGAAGTTCACCTTGTAATATACATTTTACCATTAATCACATATAAATCTTTCTTGAAACAATTTTGACAGCACAGTAAATGGTTACTAGCGAGTGATGTGTGTGCTTAAGCAGCGAAAGCAGAGACAAAGTGATGTTTTCTTCTATTCCCTAGGCAAGTGCTGACACTGAGCTTGCTGCCTCAACTCTGAGACTCAGAGATTCCTTTGTGTCAGTTGCTGGGAGAATCACTGGCAGTTAAATCACTGCCCATCATTCACAGGCAGAGGCTTTGATTTTTACCTCTTTATTTAGAATGGACGCTAGTATGATATATTACTTGCCTTCTTTTCCTTCCTTAAAAAAACTGTGATATGGGATTTAAAATCAGGTTACCTAAATCCCAATATAATTTATTGTACCTACTTGTTAAAAGTATGAGATGTTTTGTAGATTTCAAAGATAAGAATGATATTGATGAGTTGGGGAAATAACTGGATCAGGAGAATGGCA